GGGGGGGGGGGGGGGGGGCTTTAGGGCTTCTGGGCAAAGGTCTGAAGGCCTAGGGATTTGGGGTTTAATGTAGGGGCCTTGATAATTAGAATAGGGTTTTGAAGTATATTATACCATATCTATAATAAGGAACCCCCAAAATAGTATAGGTAATTATTAAGCTTTATCGGGCTTTTGGGTTTTAAGTTGTCGGTTTAGGGTTTTGGGCTAAGGGTTTAGGGTTTTGGATTTAGGGTCTGTTTGTCGGCAGGCTTCATCGGGTGTATGTTGTAAATGCTGAGCCTTCGAACAGAGTAAGGCCACCCATTTTGGGGGTTTCCATGTTGAGGCGGCACTTGGAGGATCATGGGACTTAGGAACTAGGGTTATAAGCTAGGTAAGTGTACGTGCAAGCGCTTCTACCTCCAATTCAGGTACTTGTACGCTTACCTACAGACTCCCTGATCCCAGAAAGTAGCTGTTCGCCTCAGTCCCTAACCCCTACGCCCTAAATGGGAAAGCCAAACTTCAAACCCTAAACCCTCGACTCTGGGAAAACTCAAACCCCTAAACCCTACGCCCCTAAACCCTAAACCCTAAACCCATAAATCCAATCCTAAACCCCAAACCCCTAAACCCTAATCCCCTAAGCCCTAAAAACCCGAAACCCTAAACCCGTAATCCCTAAACCACTAAACCCCAAACCCTAAACCCCTAAACCCTCAACCCCTAAACCCTAAACCCCTAAACCCGAAACCCTAAAACCCAATCTCCTCGTGCTTGGCATCAGCCTCGGCCGCCCATTTCTCCATCTCGGTCAGCTTCGCCTTGAGGTTGGCCTCCTTGTGGCACTTCTGTTTAGGTGGGGCAGAGGAGCTTAGGGTTTAGGAGCTTAGGGTTTAGGGTTTAGGAGTTTAGGGTTTAGGGTTTAGGGTTTAGGGTTTAGGAGTTCTTGGTTTAGGGTTTAGGAGTTCAGGGTTTAGGGTTTAGGAGTTTAGGGTTTACGGTTAAGAAGTTCAGGGTTTAGGGTTTAGAAGTTTAGGGTTTAGGGTTTAGGAGTTTAGGGTTCAGGGTGGTAGAGGCTGCATGTAAGGTAAACTCCAAGTGCCCGTTCGCAGCTTGGCCAGGAACCTTTCACCAAACCCAGGGTTTAGGGTTTAGCGTTTTGGGTTTAGGGTTTAGCGTTTTGGGTTTAGGGTTTAAATTTTGGGTTTAGGGTTTAGGGTTTAGCGTTTTGGGTTTAGGGTTTAGGATTTAGCGTTTTGGGTTTAGGGTTTAGGGTTTAGGGGTTTAGGGGTTTAGGGTTTAGGGTTTAGGGTTTAGG